ACGAAGTTCCTACCCACTGAGATCTCTGCTGCAGGGATTGGAAAAAGGTGGAAGAGAGAGACTTCAGGCTAAAACCTTTGGCTTTGGTTCCCCAAAAAACTTGTATATTGAGGATATAGTCCAGAGTAGTTGTTCAGAGGGTCCTTACAGGTCAACCGTGGACTGGTTGGGTTCAAAGGGTCCTTCCAGGTCAATTGTGGAGTGGTTGGGATGGAAGCGTCCTTGCAGGTCAATTGTGGAGTGGTTGGGATGGAAGGGTCCTTACAGGTCGACCGTGGAGTGGTTGGGTTCAAAGGGTCCTTGCAGGTCAACCATGTAGTGGTTGGGATGGAAGGGTCCTTGCAGGTCAACCGTGGAGTGGTTGGGTTGGAAGAGTCCTTCCAGGTCAACCATGGAGTGGTTGGGTTGGAAGGGTCCTACCAGGTCAACCGTGGACTGGTTGGGATGGAAGGGTCCTTCCAGGTCAACTGTGGAGTGGTTGGGATGGAAGGGTCCTTACAGGGTAACTGTGGAATGGTTGGGTTCAAAGGGTCCTTGCAGGTCAATTGTGGATTGGTTAGGTTTGGAAGGTCCTTACAGGTCAACTGAGGAGTGGTAGGATTCAAAAGGTCCTTACAAGTCAGTCGTGGAGTGGTTGGGTTCAAAGGGTCTTTACAGGTCAACTGTGGATTGGTTGGGTTCGGAAGGTCCTTCCAGGTCAAACAGGGAGCGGTTGAGGTGGAAGGGTCCTTACAGGTCAACTGTGGATCGGTCAGGTTCAGCAGGTCCTTACAGGTCACTGTGAAGTGTTTGGCGTGGAAGGGTCCTTACAGGTCAACTGTGGATTGGTCAGGTTCAGCAGGTCCTTACAGGTCACTGTGAAGTGTTTGGGGTGGAAGGGTCCTTACAGGTCAACTGTGGATCAGTCAGGTTCAGCAGGTCCTTACAGGTCACTGTGAAGTGTTGGGGTGGAAGGGTCCTTACAGGTCAACTGTGGATGGTCAGGTTCAGCAGGTCCTTACAGGTCACTGTGAAGTGTTTGGGGTGGAAGGGTCCTTACAGATCAGCCGTGTTCTGTGACTGCATTTCTAACAGAACCATCTGCTTCACCCACAGGCAAATGGCAGCTGGCAGGACGCGACCACCCCTTCATCCATCACCTCACCCGCCGGAGACCCCGGCAGCGTTAATTCCGACGCGTCCAATTAAGTCGTTAGGACCCTACCGATGAGAGGAAAGAGGTCATTAGTGTAATTTGTCAGTGTTGCTCTTTTCGCCGATACTCTTAACGTGACACACAGCTAATTACCTCAGCCAAACCCTGGAACCAATAGAAGATTGTGACGATGATTACGACACCTCTCTACCTCTCAGCTGAGTTCTTTTTACTTATTATGGGATGTGAAATCGTTCTCGAAGAACTTGCTTCGTTCTTCCTAACCAAATTTGGGGTTGGTTTTCTTTTATTTTTCTTTTTTTTTTTTTTTTTTTTTTTGGTTGTTTTGTTTTTAATATCGATTTATGGTAAGAAACTCAGTGTCTCTTCTAGAAGAAAAACAGAAAAAAGAAAAAAAAAAGGACTTATTTTAATTTCCACGAAGTTTTTTACGACGAGATTTCCGTTTGAGCTGATAGATGCTAACGATTAACCCCTCGTATTGTAACTGTAGGCGTTGAAACCCTCGCTGTTGTAATTTTGTAGAGGAAAATCAGCTTTTCTTACCCACGCTGAGCTCATTGAGCAGAACGCGGCTGAAACCCCCCCCATCCCCCTGTTTTTTGTGCATTCCCACCGCTGTTAACACATAAAGCCCTCCTCCTTCAGGCGAGGTTTTATCAAAGATAATAAACTTCCAAAGCCTTTTTTTTTTTTTTTTTCCTTCTTTTTTTTTTCCCGGTAATTTTTATTACTTTTGTTCGCTCCCGCTGTGTGCACCGGGGGGGCGTGGCCAACCACTGCGCATGCGCGCAAATCGATGGCGGGGCGATGCGCGCATGCGCGCTCCCTCAGGACGCATGCGTACAGAGCCATGCCGTTTCTGCGCATGAGCACTCACCGCACATTGTTCCGTGCGCGTGCGCATTCACTCCCCGTCGTTCTGTGCGCATGCGCGTTCTCTTCGTATTGCTTTGTGCGCATGCGCACAGCCGTGCTCTGCTCTGCTCCGTGCGCATGCGCACTCCTCACAG